ATTAATCAACAAATTTTAACAAAAATAAAGAACATCACAGTCGAGCAAAAATGGACCGTTAATTCACAGGAATTGAGGTAAAGGGACTACATTTTTTTGTTTAATGGACTAAAATTGGACACCAAAATATAATAGAGACTCATTTTTTTGTTTTAAGGACTAAAATTGGGCACCAAAACATAATAGGGACTCATTTTTTTGTTTTAAGGACTAAAATTGGACACCAAAACATAATAGGGACTCAGTCTGGATACCCCCTAAACATGGAGGACCAAAAGTGGACTTTACCCATTTTTTAAATAGTAACTATTTCCCTCCAAAACAATCTATTTACTATTTTGGGAAACTAATTTAACAATTTATTGTATATATCAAATAATCACTTATAAATTGCGGCTCATTATTTAAGGAAGTATGACTAATTTATGGTATTTATCAAATAATCACTTATAGAAATTGCGGCTCATTATTTAAGGAAGTAACCAAGCCATATTTTAAGATACCTTAAATACTCAAATAATGTGAATTAATTAATATATGGTATAAAGTGGACGAATATATTTTTGGTAGTGATGATTGTTTTTCTGGAAAATAAATTAATCCATATATGGTATAAAGTGAACAAATTTATTTAGGTTATTTGAGGACTGTTTTTTGTTTGGAAATTTGTTGGAAAATTAATCAATACACGGTGTACTTTTTTTTCTGTAGAGCGCAGGCCAATATATTGGTTTTCAGGCGCGTGTTTCAAATTTTATTTTCATTTTTTGTATGAAATTAATACAATAAAATTATCGTAAGTTCGACAAAATAATATGAGTGGATATTTTGATGTAATGTGCGTGTATCAATTATTTTTATAGAAAAAACTGTGGTCAATTTTTTTTTTTTTGTATAATCAGCGGGTCTCGATTTAATTCATTTTTTGTTACGACATTTCAAATAATTTTTGTTTGAAATGCGTTATTCATTTTTGTTTAGCATGATAAAGTTTGTCGATTTTTTCGACATATAAAAATCTTATGTTTGATTATTTTTACGCAACTATTTTTTATTTTTATTTTGATATTTTATACAAAAATAAATTCATTCTAATTAATGAAAAAAATATAAATTTTATATTTATAGTTATTATTCACATAGGTTTTTAAATATATAATAAAATTTTACCAAAATAACTATTTTATAGAATCATGTTATTATCAAATCAAATTTATGAATACAAATTGTGAAATGACACATGGTTTTAAATGAATATACATAGTTATGTGCAACGCACGGATTGTGTATTAATTTTAAATATATATTTTTATGTAATTTTACACAATTTAAATTTTATATAACATTTTCAATAAATTAATATACATATTGATTCCATATTTTTAATCTATAAACATTATTTAATGAGAATTTTTAATTTATAAATACTGATGAATATTACCCGTCGCACGGGCTTCGTACTAGTATTTCTCAAACATAATCACTCAAATTCAAAAAAATCCAAATGCACTTACATACATACCTAAAGAAAAATTGCCTACATCACCATTGAGAATCCCTCCTGTAAGTTCAACAATTCAAGTGGATATCTAACTATGAAGGACTACAAATATAAACTGAAGAACAAAATCAAATTAAAGAGAAAGGTAAGAGAAGGCTATCACAACTCTTTTCATTTGAGTTCTTATGAAAAAATACTACAAAAATATGTGAATACTAAATAATTAAAAAAAAGTGGCTACTCAATGATCTAACGCATACAAATCTGATTTTTTGGAAAATCCAATTTGATTGAAAAGCAAGAAAAGGGCTGCTTTGTACCTTCTTCTCAAAATTACCTGAAAGTATTTTCCCGAAGAAAAAAGAGAATCAGAAATAAATCTAATTTTGCTAACACACCAATAGCAGCGCAATTGTTTGCCATTTAACCCCAACCAATATGGCCGGTGAGAGAATGAGCAGGGGAAAGGCAAATAAGATCAGCGTTCAACCGTCGAAGAACCTCTATCCCAACCAATCTCTCATTACTAACTGGTTGCGACGGCGGCAGAGTTTGGAGAGCAAGGAGAAATGAGAGAAATGGTCTGTTAGGTAGGGTTTGCAAGTAAAAAGGTTGTTTCTTTTCATTATCAAACGACACAGCGAATATAGAATTGTGGGCAAGCAATGAGGAGACGGCTTCACCACTGACAGTATTGAATAAAGAAATCTATAGTAATATAAAGAGGTTGTTGGAAAAATACACAAATAGTAACTTTGACTTGGAAAAAAAAATTGACTTACTAATATAAGTAATATCACTGGGCCCACACGTTAATAATTAATTATTAGATAGATAAATTACGTAAATCTTTCCTAATATAATGCGTACCAATATTGTTAACCAATTTAATGAGATTTTGTTAACTAATTTGATTCTTTCCTAACACAAGGCGTTCCAATATTGTTAACCAATTTAATGGGATTTTGTTAACTAATTTGATAGGATTTTGGTAATCACTGGATTTTGTTAGCTTTTAATGGAAACACGTATCCTCATTATTGATAAGGTTTGATAAGATTTTGTTCCCAATTTCTTTTTGTATTTTTTTTCTCTCTCGAAATTTTGATAAGGTTTGATAAGATTTTGTTTCCTTTTTTTCTCTCTCGAAATTTTGAGTTGTGGATTTGAAAAAAAAAATAATAATAACATAAACATATTATATTGATAAATTTTTAGTGTGGGCATAAAAATCAATTTTGATTTGATTGAACTTTGTTTCATATAAACATAAGAGAATCAGACGTTTGAAAAAATAAAATATTAATAGTAAATAATCATAGCATATTTGTAAGGTGTGATTGCGAATATTGAGGCATAAAAAGTAATTATGACTTGATCACATTTTGTTTTATAGAAGTTATCTTAGAAAATTTTACATGTTTCAAAAAATTAAAGATTATAATTTTGTAAATTAAGTTTTGGATTTGTCCAAAGAAATAGGAAAATATCAAAATAAAAATATTATTTTTCAATCAATTCAAAAAGTCTTACCAAATTTCATTGTAACAAACTCCAATATTTTTTGCTACATAATCTTCTAAATATTCTTTCGTCCCTCACAAGTGAATCACGTTCCACATTTTTTTTAACAAAAACCGATAACACATATTTTTAGAAGTCAATCATAATCATAATAAAAAAAAAAATTAGATCGGATCATATTAAATACCTTACGTAAATATTTTTTTATTTCTCAAACATATGGCACATACACATGACTATATAAACATCACCAACGTTGAACAAAAAGTATTCGACATCCAATACATCCCACAAAACAAATTTTTCTACAAGCTTTTACATCACCGATGAAAATGGCTTCGGATTTTGGAGTAATCAAGGATATCAAAAGATCCAATAAGCCACCAATCAAGCTATGCATAATTAGGATGTTCCAAGGAGTTGAAGACGTACGCAATTACCGAAATGTTCTTGAGATTATCTTTCACGATTTTGAGGTAATATATTATTATTAAATGCATCATTTTATGCAACATCTTTTATAATTTATTTATTGAATTATTCATTATGTAATGTTTTAGGGAGGACGAATTATTGACATAATTCGACCTGTCAATATCCAAAAATTCATCAGTGATATTGAAGAAGGTGGCGCGTATATCTTGACCAACTATCAAGTGGAAAGCAATATTGGCATCTATAAATCAACGATAGAAAAATGGATGATCATTATCAATGGTCAAACCAAGATATCAAATGTAGGGGTGGTTTATCAAATGGAGGGGTGATTTTTCTATATATCGTTTTGACTTTAGGAACTTTCTAACTTTAATGGATGTTCGTAACATTGATGAAGCCATATTGTTTGGTACGTTATAATTATTTTGTTTATTTCTCATTTTGATTTTTTTAATTTAAAATCTGTAATAAACTATTTTATATGTTATACGTTTCAATATGATGCATTATCTTATATTTTTGTAAATGTTATTTGATTGATTGTTTTCCATTATGTTTTCTTACACCGTGACTATAAATAAGAGTCAAGAACAATCATTACCGCATGTGGGCTTATTTCTTAAGAAACCATTGTTTAGTCATGGCCAATTGTATGTTGTTGTCTCTCGTGTCACAAACAGAAATGGGTTTGAAAGTCCTAATTTGTGGCGACGATGACGTGCCAAAGAATCAAACCATGAACGTTGTATATAAGGAAGTGTTCAATAATATATACGGAGTAGATTTTATTATCATTGTATTTATTAATGTATTTATTATTAATGTCATGATCTTTCCTTTAGTAAGTACTTTGAATTTTAGCTGAACATTACTTTATAAAAAGGACGGAGATAATAAACCTCCGTTCGCACGGGGACTGTACTAGTAATTTATGATACAGTGTTCAAACTCCTTTATTTCACATGTTTCGAACAAATTCTGTTCAGAAATAAGCAAGGGTAAAAAAGTAAATACACTATAGAAATTAATACGTGTCAGCAGCAGAAGAGCTACGTAATGAATAAAATATTATAAACAGCTACAGTGCAAGGAACTCCTTTTTATTACATATCTAACATAGATAACATAGATAAGATAAGATAACATAGATAGAACATCACTTGGAAATATTTTCACAAAATATAGTACATAATTATAATTATTAAATTAAAAATAAATGAAAGCAAATTTGGGTCCGCAAGCCGGAATCAAACTAGTATCAAATATATATAATAATAATAATCAGCAATCAGTGGTCAGTGGGGCAGTCAACAGACTCACGCGACTCTTTTTCCACCGTCAGACGCTGTCTCCAGTTGTGGTTTCTGTCGGTTTCCTTCGTCGCTCGCCACGAAATTTCGCAAGAAAATCAGAACGACCAAGATTAATCTCCGGTGGCCGTTTACTCCGGACGAGCTCATGTATTCTGCCGAGCGATACATGGATTTTGCTTGCAACCGCCGGGGATGCATCGCCTACCGAAAATCTTCTCCAATAGCCTGAACCGCCGCAAGAGCAGTACCAGCTCGAGCCTAGGAGGCTTGACCGAAGCTACGCCTTCAAGGACGTCGACTATGAGCTATCGCCTTCCGCATCAGCTTCTGCATCGCCGCACGCGCGTGCGGAATCCGGCGGTCAGATGAGCTTCCGTATCAACGGTACGGAGGGTGAGTTCGAGTTCATCTGCCAGACGTATGGATTTTCCGGAATTGATGATTTTGCTATATCGCCGGAGGAGTTTGATGCGATGAAGGGGAGCCCGATGTCTGCTCCAGTGATGTTCGCTCGAAACTTTGAGCCTGTATATGGTAAAGTTGATTTTGATTGTGATGCCGTTGGTGGTGGCGCTGAGGCGGTTGATGTAATTCACCGGGAAATGGGGCCAGAGATTGATACGTGTATTCGAGTTTCAGATCATGATTTTGCTTATATGGATAGTGTTTGTCCCATTTTTGTGTCTTTATTTCATGCTTATTTTCTTTTCGTTTTCCCCCATTTGTAGGATTTTTGTAATTTATTTGGTCCATTTCGTTCGTTTTGTGTTTTTGTCTTTAGTTTATATTTTTGTATCTTTTTGCCGTGTTTTGCTTCGTGTTTTTCTGTGTTGTGTTTTCAGGAGGTAGGTTGTGCCGGTCGAGGTTAGAATTGCGTGAGCCGAGACTGTGATATCAAGAACATCCGTTACCGAGCCCAGAAAACTCGAGGAAGGACTGAAAAAGCCGACAGAAACTGTGCCCAGAAAAAGTCGCGACTCGCGAGTCAAGTCGCGACTCAAGGGAATGTCGCGACCCGCGGAAAAAACAGAGGCTTATGGTGCAGTGTCGAGCAGAACTCGCGACTCGCGAGATAATGTCACGACTCGCGAGATATTTCGCGACTCAACCCCAGAAATTTATATTTTGACGGCGCGCGACTCGCCAGGAAGTCGCGACTCGCGACTTTGCCGGGCGCGAATTTCGAGGACGGGATTTTTAGAGCAGAATTCGACCCTAGGGTTCATTATTCAGTTTTCAGACTTCGTTTTTACACTTTTTCTCTGGAGAAACTCATTCTTTTTCTTTCCTTAGCACTTTTGAATTGTTTTGGGAGATTGACAACTCCTATTTCTCGCTTTGGATTTGGATGCACTTGGATTTAACATTGGATTCTTTATATTAATCGTAAGTTATTTTTCTCAATTTCTTTGTTGATGATGATGGCTTGGGTTTGTGTGAATGTTAATGTTGAATTCCATATGAGTAGCTAAATCCACTCGCTAGGGATAGAGGATGATTGATTAGGTTCGTTATAACTGAGTGCTCTTGATTGTTCATGTCTATTCGAGTTGTGTGAACCATAGGGTTAGGAGATTGATCACCTTTCTAGCCTAGATAATCAACGTGTAGAACCGAGAGGGGAGACGTTGGTAGAATTAGACTCGTTTAGAATAGATTTGTTCGGAAGCGTATAATCTATGTGTTGTAGGAATTGATAGTTGATCGTTCACATTCACTCTCTTGTTACGAAGAGTTATTGAGAGTGAACCTCTGAACGTGAAACGAATCAAGACCTTTAACCGAGCAATCAATTGTCGGTGATTGAGTTAGAACCGAAAGCAATTATCCCCGATTCCCTAGCACTTTATTCATTCAGTAAATTCATTAGCTATTTGCCTTCATTTAATTTAGTTTGCATCAGTAGTTGGTAATTGAAACCCCAAATATTGAAATAGAGTGTTTAGGAATTTTTTTTCTATTTTTCGTGACTGAATATACGCACAAGAATATCCGGCTAACCTTCCTTGCGATACGACCCGGGGACGAATCTTTCGATTCTACTCCGGTTAAAATTATTACAACAAAAATTGGCGCCGTTGCCGGGAAAGGTTTAGGATTATAATTGTGCGCCTATTCATCTTGTTTTTAGTGTTTCTCTTATTTCTTGTGATTTTTCTTGTTTCCGTGTTTCTCTTGATTTCTTTTTATTTGTCAGGTGTTAGTTCTCGTTTTATTTTGTTTTTATTTTGTTTTATCATTGGTGCTCGTAACCCTTGTTGGTCTTAGTGTATGCGTACCAGGAGTGGACGCAAATTGCTATCTCCGATCAACAAATCAGTTAACGAGAGCCTGAGGGAGCTGCTGGAAGAGCTGACTCTCGAGTCTCACGAAGGAAACGAACACTCCCCGAAATCGTCAGAAGGCAGCAACGTCGTCATGGATGAACAACAGCAACAACTGCCTCGCAACACCCTTCGAGACCTAGCCCATCCGACAATTGGGCCGATAACCTCATGCATCCGGTTGCCACAAGAAGCTCGGAACTACGAGCTTAAGATGATCCATTACAACCAGCTGCCATCCTTCCACGGGCTCCCGAATGAAGACCCGCTTAACTTCATTCGGGAATTCTACAATGTGCTACAGACCTTCCCTCTCCACGGGCTTACAGAAGAGCAACTGAAGATGAGGTGTTTTCCCGAGACACTGAAGGACCGGGCCAAGTCCTGGTTCATGACCCTCGCACCGGACTCTCTCACTACCTGGACTGACGTATACACGAAGTTCATTGGGAGGTACTACTCCCATCAGAAGACCCAGGAGCTCCGGTCGCCGATCGTCTCATTTGCTCAACTACCGAACGAGCCTCTTCACGAGGCTTGGGAGCGGTTCAAGGATCTCCAGCGGCAGTGTCCTCATCACAACCTCTCTCCGGGACTATTGATCAACTGCTTCTACGACTCCCTCCATCAGAACTTGCAGTATATGGTTGACAATGCGGCAGGGGGAGATATCGGAGCAAAAACGGCTGGAGAGATGTTCGAAATTTTCGAGACGATGAGCACGAATTCGTCGCAGAAGAGCAGCAGAGGGAAGAGAGTGGCAGTACACGAGGTCGGGCAGGGCAACAATGAGATGGCCCAACGGTTAGCTGAGCTCACAGAGCAAATGCGTTTACTTAACGCACGAGGAGCTCAGCCGGTTCAGACCATGTCCGTTGACACGTGCGGGGCATGTGGAGTCCCAGGCCATAGGTCTGAAGTGTGCCCTTCAGCTTTCGACCAGGAGTTCGGTGAGCAGTATGCAGATGCCAGCGCCTTACAAGGATACCAAGCCCGGCCTGGCAATGACCCATATTCGAATACGTACAATCCGGGATGGCGGAATCACCCAGCTTTCTCATGGTCGAACAACTCGAACACCCTTCAGCCACCCCGTCCAAATTTCATGCAGCAACAACCTCGACCCAACTTTGTGCCCCGTCCGAACTACCAGCCACAGCAGCAGCAGCAGA